AGACCAAAAAAGAAAAGAAGGCTAGAGGCTTGGGAGCTAAAGAAGGATGACACACAACTGAAGCAAAATGGAACTCGTAAGAGATGTTCCATACGTAGACAACTTGGTCATAAAAGAAATAGTTGTCCACAAGCTCCTCCAGCAAACCAAAGTCAATATCAATTAACTCAGCAACCTCAAACCCAAGCTGAACAAAGTTAGCCAACTACTGGACCAAGTCAGTTTACTCAATGCGTATTGGAACAAACTCAGCCATCTACAACACAAGTTTAAAAGTGATTTAAAACTGACTTTATGTTTAGGTTAAGTATGTTTAGCTTAAGTGATGGCTATTTTGTAAACCTTGACATGTATTTTTAGACCAATTTTGAATTGGGTATTTTGTAAACTGTCAGACGTGCTTTTGAAGTCCACTTTGTAATCTCAATGACATATTTTCTTTTCATTATGATGTAATTATGAATGATGTTTGGATGATTATAATCTGAATTTCAATGATAGATTCTCTTTTGGATGTGCATTTGAAGTCCAATTTCTGATTATATTATCATGACAACTTCTCTTTTCATTATGATGTCATTATGAATGGATGTGCATTATCAACTTGAACAGAGTCCTGTATAATTTATTCACAGTAAAGTGTTGTGGATTTGTTCTTCAATTATATTACAAAGAGTGACACTGTCTAAAAACTTCCTTACAGTGACACTATCTAAAAGTCCCTTATTATACAGAACTCTCTTTTTGATTTTGTCTTGCTTTGGTCCAATGCAATTTCAGAAGCCATTTCCTCATTTTATTGTCAGTTACACACCACTTCCTCATTTTATGTTGTATATATCACAAAAAATGTAAATTGAAACCATAATTTCAGATGCTTCAATTCAGATTTCACGTTCATTTCAAAACATCATATTACAATTTGCCCAAAATGCTCTTCACATAAACTGTCTAATAGAACACATCATGGACTTTTAAACAAAATACATACAAGAATGATGTTAATGAATCCCAGAAAACATATCATTGATATTAACATCTTCTCCCTTTTCTGACAATCCCTAACACATTTCTCCAGGCTATTAATCTTTCTCCTTTGCCTAGCAATAATACTAGCAGCATCATCTACATAATCTTCATTAAGCCATTTAAAGAAATTGTATCCTTCAAGTTCTTCATTTCTTGTCCGCTGTTCAAAGTATTCAACCACAAAAATTTCATTAATAAAAAAAAAATTTATCACAAACATTAAACTACAAACCTTGTAATTAGGGCAGCCCCAAAATTGTTTCCCCTCGTTCTTAACTGTTTTTGCCACTCTCAACACAACAGCCTCCCCACAATGGCATATTTGGCTTCCAACGAAT